ACAACTGCACTCAGAATCTTTCTTAACTTGTTGGGGCCTCTTTAAGACTGGGTGAGCCTGCCTTTCTCAGCTGCTGAGATGCAGGGGCCGATCTATCAGGCTCAGCCACAGTGGGAAGGGGTGCTCACTCTATGGCACTGGTCCTCAAACTTGGTTGTACATTGTAATCACCTGGGGAATTTTAAAAAATATTGCTGCCTGGCTCCCACCTTCTGGGAAAGGTGATCTAATTGACATGGGCTGTGGACCGGACATCAGGGTGTTTAAAAGTGCCTCATAGAGTTTGAGAACCACTCATCTACAGAATGAAACTACCCCCAGATTTATTTTTCTAGGCAGGAAAACTCTGCTTCATTTGCCTTTCTCAAATATAATATTTCTTAAAACTATAAGCATTGCTGGGGCTGTCTCCCAGCTCTTCCTGGATTTAAAATTCAAAGCTGGGTCCAGATCATCTTTAAAGTTTGATCATTATTATGGAATATTTTACTTACAATCACATTACTTAGTTAATTTAAAAAATTAAAATTACCTTGTTTGTTTGCACTTGAGTTGACCGTGAAAAGTGAAAGTGTAGTCACTTTCTGTCCATGGAATTCTCTAGGCAGGAATACTGGATTGGATTGCCATTTCCTTCTCCAAGCACTTGGATTAGGAGTATAGCGACATGGGCAGGGGTGAGTTTTAGAGGTGGACAGACTTGGGTTCCAGTTGTAGTTCTGCCCCTACTTTCTGTGATCTTCTGTAGGTGACAACTTCTTGGAGCCTCAGTCTATCCAACTCTGAAATGGGGATAATGCCTACCTCTGTGTGGTGGATTGACAGTTAAATAAACCTGTAAAGTGCCTAATATAGGGAGGGGTGATAAAAGAATAATCTGCCTTACCCTCCCAGAGCCCAGAAGTGCTCACTCTTGTGACAGAGAAACCGAACAGCCTCAGTTTTCAGAGGACCTCTGGTACCTGTGAGTTCTTCACTCTGGAAGCAGAAGTGCCACCTCCTTTGGGGATGGTTGTGTGGCTTTTGGGCCCTGGTCCTCCGTTTCCCAGAACGGATGTTCCTCTGTGTGAAATAAAAGCTCAATGTCGTCGCTTGAAAAATTCAAGTAGAAAGGAAAAAGCAATATATCTAAACAATATCTTATGTAATATGTGATATAGATAACTAAATTAATATTAAATATTATAAACAGTATTAATAACTAAATGTTAAGTATTGTAAATTGATATTTGGTCATTTTATATATATGCACAGCTCTAAGAGTTCATGTATTCCAGTTGTCAAAAAAAAACACAACTTTTTTGGTATCCACATTGAAAAATGGGGAATCTTCTTTAAAAAACAGAAAGCTCACATTGACACACCTTGACGAAGGTTAGGGAGGTTGTGGACTTCCTGAGGGAAGATTTCTGGGCAAAAGTTATGACACAAAGAAAGCCCATGTTCTCCATGTCCACTCTGGGCCCCACGGCCATCCTGGGACCTGGGACCGCTGCCGCTGCGGTTCTCCAACTCTGCTGTCAGCTGCAGCAGCCCCTCTTCACATGGGAGGAACTCTTCGGTCCAGGCCTCCCTCAGCCAAAGCCTGTCCCTAACTTGCTGTCAAGGGTGGTCTTTCTCTTCCCATCTTGCCCAGGGGAATTTATTTCTGAAGCCTAGTTGCAGAGGAGGAGGGTTGAGAAATCCGTGTGTGTGTGTGTGTGTGTGTGTGAGTCACACTCAGTCATGTCCGACTCTTTGTGAGTCGGATTGTAGCCCACCAGGCTACTCTGTCTATGAGATTCTCCAGGCAAGAATACTGGAGTGGGTTGCCATTCTCTTCTCCAGGGGATCTTCCCGATCCAGGAATCGAACCCAGGTCTCCTGCATTGCAGGCAGGTTCTTTACTCTCTAATCTACCAGGGAAGCCTGGTAATCCATACTTTCCTGCTATTCCCATTTCTCTCACTTAAGGGTGTAGGAAGTGTGATTCAGAGAAAAGGGGTCACTCACTGATTTTAGGTTGCACAGTTAGTGACAGTCTTGAACCTGGAACCCACATCTCCCAATTCACAGCCTGTCCTAAGGCCCACACCTCTGCTGTGGATCAGACCTGATTCCTTTATTTTCCTGGGCTGGTTTTTTCCACCACCTAGAAAACTTCCAGATGGATTTTTTCTACTTTCATTGGCTGCGAGTGCAAGGAATACACATGGAATACTCAAACTGGAAAGAAACATAATTGTTGAATATGCTAAAAATCATGTAATATTTTTAGTATCAATTGTGTATTATTTTTGTATGTAGACATATGAACAGATAGTTAAAATGCAATGTGATATATGTTATATTAGAAGGATGTTCAGGGTACTGTGGGAACCCTGAAGAGGGAATAATTAACTCTTCCTAAGGGAAATCAACCCTGCTTCTCAAAGCTAGAACATTTGAACCAGTTTGGAAGGATGAATAGGAAGGAGTTTATCTGAAAAGGAGTGGGGTAGCTAGAAAGAGTATTTTAGGGAGAGGGAACAAACACTTTCACAAACACAAGAGTTATGCAAAGATTTGGTGTATTTAGGTGATAGCAGAGGTATTTGGCATAGCAAAGACATAGGATGTGTGGCAGGTGAAGCTAGAAATGAGACTAGGAAGAGTTGAAGCCAGTGTGGAAAGAGGCTTGAGCCACACGCTAAGGATTTTGGCCTTTAGGGCCATGGGAGGTACAGGATGTGTGATGAAGCCTTGTCTGATCTATTCAGTTATTTCTCTTTTTCTCATCATGCTAATGAGACTGTGTTACTATGACTAATCTTTGAGCATCTGCTACCAGGGAGTTGGAAGCCTTATGGAAATTATTTTCAACAATTAGAACAGCATTTCTGACCTGGGGGAAACAAGGAGGGTCTTCCCTGACCAGCCAAGTGGAAGGGAGGGACAGTTGCATGATGCCCCTGGATGATGCCCCCTGTGGAGAACATCCTTTTCTACGTCTGTTGATTGGCAGAAGAGTATCTAGGAGATTGAATATCCAGCTCTGTCATTAAAGTCTGTGGCTCTGCGGAGGCTGGGGAGGGGTTTTTTTCTTGGCTGGGAGGAGTGGTAGGTGAGGAGAAGAGCAGTAGTAAACAGTTGTTTGGCATGATTTTGTAGATTTGATTTTTCCAGGATATATCAGTTACCTTTTGCTGCATCGAAAGCCACTCCAAATCTTAGCGGTTAAAACAATAACCAAGCTTTATTTATGGTTCTGCAGGCTGAGAGTTTGGGCTGGGATACTCTGGGTGGTTCTGCTGGGCTGCGCTGGGCCTGGCTAATCGCTGCTGTGCTTACCCATATCTGTGTTCAGTTGGTGGGTCAGTTGGGGCTCCCTGGCTTGTTTTGGCTTCAGGTGGCTTGGCTTACCTGAGACAACTAAGGCCTCTCTGCACCTGGTTTCTTATCTCCCAGCTATCTAACCTATTGTTGTTCGTGTGGCAGTATTCAAGTTCTGAGAGGGAGAGCAGAATCATATAAAGCTACTTGAGGTCTAGGCTTAGAACCTATTCAGTGTCATTTTTGCTGCATTCTGATGGCCAAAGCAGGTCATGAGGTCAGGCTAGCTTCAAAGGAGAGAGAATGGACTACACTTTTTTTTGAAGACTCCACTTTTAATGGATAGGATTGCAAGGGCATGGGCACACGGAGGGAAAGAATTTGTGGCCACTTTTTCAGTCTTTCAGTCTATGTGACTTTCGTCACAAGGGAGAGTTGATAATTAAGGTTATTGTCTTAGCATGAATGGGATATAAGAAATCTTTTGAATTCAAAGTCAGCATTCATGGAGGATGATGTGAACTCTCAAGTATTGTTTAGTTCAGTCCTCACAGCAACTCTTGTTTTCCCTTTCTGTTTTGCATATGAAGAAACTGGTGTGCCGAGGAGTTAAGTGGGATTAAGTGACTTGCTCAACCAAGGTCTTTGGTGGTAAACCTGTTGTTTGGCCTTGTTTGTCTGCCTGCAGCTCTAGAGCAACTGCCGTTGTGTCATTTTGGTGATAGGAAACAGAGAAGACCGTGGTGTTATTGCTCCATCACTGGCAGAGCCAGCCCCTTTCCAGGTTGTCCTCATTCCTGGGCACAGGCTCCTGGCCCTCGGGAGCCCGTCTCCTTGCTCTCAGTGGGCCAGGTACTTATGGAGTGGCCTGGAAGTGCTGCAGGGTGGCAGTGTCATACTGCTTATGTAGTTCAGGAACCCACCATGCTGATTAATGTGTTGGAGACCGCTGCATTTCTCTGGAGAGAGGGAGGTAGGACAAAATGTTCATGTTCACGGGTGAAAATACACATATTGGGTGTACCCAGCATGGACTGCGTGGAGAAGGCACAGCAAAAGCTCTTTGAGCCCCAGGGGCCGACCAGTTAGTCTTGGTTGTTATAAGAGAAGAGTATCTCCTAGATGAGCAGGCAGGCAGTCCTTGCCTTTCTCTGGCTAGAACTTTTTAAAAGCTCTAGCTTTGAAATCTCTAAAGAAATTCTCCTACATAGTAATATAAATGGCTGGAGCTGTGCCCTGGGCTAACCTGACCCCTTTGAACTTAGCCAGTAGTGGGAACTGGGCTCTCAGGGCTGTGAAATGCAGGGTGGGAGCAGCAGGAAGGCACCTGATTATCACAACTGGAGCAGGGTTGGGCCTCTATTTTGTAGGAAGAGAAGAGATGTAGGATCAGGCAAAGTTGAGGATGTGGGGAGGTCTGTAGGGCAGGCCCCTAATAGGTTGGTCATGTCCAGAGTACCTCGATGGTAAGTACAGACTATGGCATCAAACATACTTCATTTTGGCACAGATAGTGTTGGTACATACCTGGGTGTTGTGTATTAGAAAGCCTTGTGTCTAAGTCATATGTATAACCTGCCATGTTGCACTGACTATGCTATCTTTTCCCTCTTCTCCCAGAGTTCATCTCCTGTCCTGGGTGTGAGTGAGTCACCAGGGATGTAACTGAACATTTTCTGCTGCAGTGCTTTTCTTCTGGGCAATCCAAGATGGTGAGGGTAAGTTAGCACAAGCAAAGTAGCAGCTAATTCTTTTCAGAAATCTGTGCGACCCTGTCCATAAGTCTGTCTGTCCACCCATCACTTCATCTTACTTGTTACCCTTCCACCAGTTTACCTAATCATCCATCCATCCATCCATCCATCCCTCCTTCTATCCAGAAGAGAATCAAAATGTTTCAATCGGGGAAGCAAAACTAGTGTGTTTTTTTCTCTGTTATAGTTTTTACTGAAAATTATGACTACTAAGCTTTTATTCCCTTCACCCTCCCAATACTCAAGCTGAAACTCATTCACCAGCCAGGGTTAGATGGGTTCATCAGTTTTGCTTGTATTTAACAACTAATACCTTTTCCCTGAGTTTCTGAAATTTCATACCACTTACTGACTAGTATCCCTTCTTATTCTTTCTCCACTGGGGTATCCTTGCCACTACATTTTATTCATTTGCCATTTTACTTACTTGCTCCTGTATTACATTCTTACTGAATGTCTGACATATATGCCAGGGCCTGTTCTGAGTACTAGTGAGACAGAGACCCATGTCTCTACCCTCAAGGAATTAATAGTTTAGTTAGTAAAACCTACATTTCTCCTCTTTTCTTTTTCTTGCTGTAGGTTTCTCAGATCCCAGGGTGAGGACAAAGCTGTCAGAATCCACATCAGTTTGGTGGCCTCTATTATTCAGCACAGACAGGCTAATTTTTCAGAAATCTTTTCATCTCTCATATCAGCCCTGCATGATATTTTCTGACCAAATGAATTAACATTTATACCAGGAGAAGGCCAGAGATTCTTGGTCCTGGCAAGCCCCAGTAGTGGAGGCACAGCTCTGAGAGTTGGTCCATCTTACTCTTTCCTGGCTATTTATGATTATCATTTTGTGCACTCATATAGCTACAGTTTCTTCTTCTCCGTAACATGTTGAAATTTTTGTGTTTGCCTGTGCTTTGCATTTTCCTCCCTTGTCTGCCTGGTGAACTTCTACTTGTCATTCAGTATCCAACTCAAATGTCACCTCTTTATGTCACCTCTTTCCTAGCTTCTTCTAGATGGAACTCCTGGAAACCTCGCTTTGCTTCCTTAGCACTTGGTGCAACCTTTCATCACAGCATAACCCACTGAGTGTTCATCACACTGTCCAGGCTGTGTACCTTGAGAGCAGAACCTGTCCTTATTTATCTGCATATCCTCAGCTGCAACACAGGATTTGTGTAAATAGGCCCTGAGGCCAGTGCTATTAGTCACATGCTTTCCTTCGCGCGCCCCCGCGTGTCCCTCCCAGGCAGCTCTTTAGAATGGACTGCACTCCAAAATAGTGAAGGAACAGCTCTGTGGGTCCCCAGTCCCTAGCGTATTTACCACTCATAAAAGCAGGTCCAAATGATGAAGACGCTGTCAGTAATTCCAGAACTCTCTACTCCTAGAACTGCTCGGAGTGCAAGGAGAAGAGGGCAGCTCACATCCTCTGTACCTACTGCAACCGCTGGCTTTGCAGCTCCTGCACGGAGGAGCACCGACATGGCCCGGCCCCTGGGGGCCCACTCTTTTCACGGACCCAGAAGGGATCTCCAGGTATCACTCCCTCTCCTCCAGTAGCTCACATACCCCCATTCCTACCCTTGGCCCTGTAAGTAGTACCAAACCAAAAAATCTTTGGAAAAGAGCTCTCTGCCCTTGTTTCCCTGCTGGGGGTGAGAGTAGGGGTGAGCCTTTCCTAAAGAAAAGCTGCAGTGTACCTTCACTCCAGGCTCTCCCTGTTGCCAGGCTGGGGCAGGTGGCATGTGGGGAGTAGGTGACTGTGAGTGAGATGGTGCAGGGAGGAAAAGTCTTGAATTACCATGACAGCTACTTGAGTTCCCTGTCTTTGACCTCTGTTTAGAGCAATCACACCCCACTTCTGTTTAGTTACTTGATTAATTTAGCATCAAGGATCAGGGTTTGTCCATTTACCCATCCAGCACCATCTGGTGACGATCTTCTTCAAAGTCTTTTCTCAAGGCCCTTGAACTGTGGGAAGGGTTTTACCTTCATCAGACAGGAGCCAAAGTTTATGATACATGTGATCTGATCTGGGTAGCTGGTTTCAGCCTCGGTCTGGATTGGGCAGCTAGTTTCAGCCCCACCTGGTCAATGAGGAGGTGTAGGTTAAGTTCTGGAGGACTCACTGTTCTGCAGGAGATCCATGTGCAGCAAGTAGCAGGCACCTTCCTCAGGCTCAGCAGATGGTGAGATGTCTGGGGCTTGATGGTGCGTTATTTCTGAACAGCTGTGCATATCTGGCCAGTGTAAGCCCACCTTCCTCCTTGTGTTCCTGGAACCTCACTGGCCCAGAGAGAGGGTCAGTTTTGCATCACCTTTCCTCTAGCTCTGGGTCTTCCCTGTGTCCATAGAAGGCTGACGGTGCTCAGTGGAGCTTAACTTAGGAGGTCTTCCTGAGCCAAACATGCCCACTTTCTCCATCTTCTCTGGCAGGAGTGAATGGTGGTTCTGGAGACTTCGCATTGTACTGTCCTCTGCACACGCAGGAAGTTCTCAAGCTGTTTTGCGAGACCTGTGATGTGCTCACATGCCACAGCTGCCTCATGGTGGAACACAAAGAGCACAGGTGGGGCAGGGTGGCTGCCCGAGGGGGCCTGGGAGGGCTCCGGGCTCTCTGACCTGTGGGCGTGCTGGGTTCCCCGTGCATGGAAATGCTCTCCCTGCTTAGGCCAACCTTCAGTCCCCAGGCCGGGCTGAAGCTTTTCTCTGTTCTGTTGTGTCGGGCTTCTCTGGAGAAGCCCTGAAGGGCTAAGAGTCTTTGACTCCCTAGATGTAACTCCAGCCTCCCTGGGCCTGACAGAGACAATACATTGTGTGGATTCTTGCTTAGCTGGCATGCTCAGAGTAAGACTCGGTCTTCCTCATTTTTTTCTCTGCCTCCTCCTCTAGGTGCAGACATCTTGAAGAAGTTTTACAAAACCAGAGGATGCTTCTGGAAAGTGTGACTACACAGGTGGCACATAAGAAATCCAGTCTACAGACATCTGCAAAGCAAATTGAGGACAGGTAGCACCGGCTAGCCCCTGGTCACGGTGGAAATGCTCTGTTCCCTCTTACCCTGGGTCCCAGTACCAGGATGGAGTGGACATGCAGACACCGGCCTATGTCCCAGAAGGCACATGTCCTGGTCTCAGGGCCAGGGTGGGAGTTTCGGGTCGTCTCTTGGTGAATGGAGCCAAGCTCGGTGAGGATGATCACAGTGAACCTGGGCTAAAGTGCCTGCCTTCTGAACATGACCATGAACTGGCCAAAGATAGGTGCTTAAGAACAAGGGCACAGAGTAGATACTGGAGAAGAGAGGGCTGTTTATTTTGTGAGCACAAGTCAGTGGCAGTCTATCCTTTATCACTCCTTTCCTAATGTTCTCCTTATACATCTTATACACATGGTATGAAATCATCAATATTTTGTGTAGAAAGAGAAATAAGCAGGTACTGAGAGAGGATCACATGGCAGGCATTGGATTGGGCATCATGCATGCATCATTTTGATCAGTTCTTACAATTCTTTGAGTCAGGGGTTATCTCTGTTCTACTGATGAGGAGGGTAAGGTTCAGAGAGTTTAGGTGACTTATCTGAGATCACAAAGCTAGTCAGAGACTGAATTGGGTTTGGAAGCTAGGTCTGTGTGGCTTCAAAACCTCTTTGTTTTTTTTTTTTAATGGTTTTACTGAGATATAATTTATATACCATAAAATTGCCCTTTTAAAATGTAAAATTCAGTGGGTTTATTTTTTTAGCATATTCATAGAGTTGTACAACCATTATTATGATGTGAAAGTCACTCAGTCGTGTCCACCTCTTTGTGACCCCATGGACTATAGTCCTCCAGGCTTCTCTGTCCATGGGATTCTCCAGGCAAGAATACTGGAGTGGGTTGCCATTCCCTTCTCCAGGGGATCTTCCCAATCCAAGGATCGAATCTGGGTCTCCTGCATTGCAGGTGGATATTTTACCAACTGAGCCACCAGGGAAGCCCTACTGAATTGTACATTTTAAAAGGGCAATTTTATATTTTTTAATATAATTTTTATATATAGATATAAAAGATATGATTTTTATACCATAAAATTTCCTTTATAAAATGTACAGTTCAGTGGGTTTTTTAGCATATTCATAGAGTTGTACAACCATTATAACTGTCTACTTTTAAAATATCATTTTTATCACCCTAAAAAGAAACCCATGCACATTAGCAGTCACTCCCCATTCACCCTGCAGCATCCCCAGGCCTTGACAACCATTAGTCTACTTTCTGTCTCTATCTAGGCTCTTTTTCACTGCATGATGCTGTTTAGTAGCATATTCTTCCTCTTAATAAAATAGGAAATTACATGAAGTCATACCTGTGTTCACTCTCTCTGTCCTGCCTCTAGTGCTGTGTGAAGTGGTGAGCTATTGACTTGACCTGGGGATGGACCTGTAGTTTGCTCAGAGAAAAATGAGTTGAACTTTGGGCCACTGGCCCATTTAGATCAAGTGGGCTGGGTTGTTCTAAGGGCAGGATGGATGGCGGAGGAAGGTTCTTATTTCTTTACATTCGGTGCCTGCTGGTCCCTGATTTCAGTAGGAAGCCTCCACATTGTAGGCTCTTAGGTTTGCTGTCTGTAGGCTGTTGTAGGCCTGGAGGGAAGGGCTCACTATGCTCCGTTTCCTCCTGTTGTTTGCAGGATTTTTGAGGTGAAGCACCAGCACAGGAAGGTGGAAAACCAGATCAAAATGGCCAAGATGGTTCTGATGAATGAACTGAACAAACAAGCCAATGGACTCATAGAGGAGTTGGAGGTATATGTGAACAGATGGTTAGGTTCTGTACTCTCCCTGGGGCAGAAACCAGGCACATATCAAATATGTCTCATGGCTCAGAGATGCCTGGTCTAGAATTCAGATGTGCAATTTCCATAGCTCTCTGCTACTCCCTGTATCTTAAAATGTCCTGTCTAATTTTGGGAAGTTGGCTCATTAAGGGCTTAGAAAATCAGATCAAACTCCCATTAATGCTGTGGCAGTAAGGCAACTGCCTTCCTGGACTTTGCAGGTTTACAGCCTTGAAAGAGTCATGAAATGAGCTATGCCCAAGAAATGTAGACATTCATTTTCTCAGTCATTTATCACTTATTCCTATTTGCACTGTAAAATCTACCTACCTTTTCTCTCTCCCTCCCTCCGTCCCTCAAGCAGCCATGTCCTCCTCTCAGGGGTGCAGATTCATCTGATTCCATTTGTGTTTACACTGATGTACCCAGGCCACTAGAGTTCCCAAGCACGTGGCCTGCAGTCCAAGAACAGGATCAGGGACTCTGTCTTCTCTCTCCGTACCCAGGGCATCACTAATGAGAGGAAGCGGAAGCTGGAGCAGCAGTTACAGAGCATCATGGTTCTCAACCGCCAGTTTGAGCATGTGCAGAATTTCATTAACTGGGCTGTCTGCAGCAAAACCAGCATCCCTTTCCTTTTCAGCAAAGAGCTGGTAAGAAGAACTCCAACTCCTCAATCACTGACTTTGGGTTAGTAAGTGAAAACCATCTTTTACCAAACCTCACAGTGCAAAGGACCCAGGTGCTGGAATAGACCTGCCTTCCTCCAGGCAACTCAGCTAGGAAATTCTGTAGTTCTGTCTCAGGTCATGGATCCAGACATTAATACTAGCAGTGTGCTGGACATTCCCTAGGGAGTTGGGTTTAAATGGGGCCTAAGAGGAAAGGAGGAGTGAAGGATGACATTGAAGTGTTGGGCTTAAGAGGTTGGTGATGCCCAGGAAAAGGAGCAGGACTTTTGAAAGAGTTGATGGGGTTTGTATTTGGATATGTCAAATCTAAAGGGCCTGTAGGGCGTCTAAAGGTAACTGTCCCAAATCTGTTTTAGTAGATGGGTCTGGAAGTCAGAAGAAAAGTCAGGGTTAGAGAGAGAGAGAGAGAGAGAGATGTGTGAGTCCCTGGGATTTGGGTGGTATTGGAAAAGTGTGTGAAGAAAGAAGAAAAGAACAGATCTGGAACCCAGGGAAATGCCCTCATTTTCAGCACAGACAGACGAAGGAGATGAATGAAGGAGATGAGAAGCAACCATCAGAAGTCAGCAGAGAAATAGGAGAGCGTGGTGCACAGAATTTAACATAGAGCTTCAAATCTTAAGTGATCACTGTTATCATTGCTACATAGGTGATAGAGGATGAGTAGGTGAAGAGAAACCTTGAGAACTCAGGATCAGGAGGCCCCTGGTATAACCTTTGAAAGATACTCCAGCAGCTTTTCTCTCCAGCAAAGTAGAAGGGTCAAAAGCTAGAAAGAGGGATTGAAGATGGGAGGTGAGGAAGTAGAGGAATTAATGAAAAGCAGAGAAATAAGGTAGCTTGAGAAGGAGACAGGGTTGGGGATGCTTTTTTAAAATAAGGAAAACATTTGCACAAGTTTATCTGGGAGAAGTTGAAGATAGAAGAGATGTGTAGTGGAGGGAGCATACTGGGAAAGCAGAAGGAAGTGGGATCTAGAGTGAAATGGTTGACTTTAAACAAGAGGCACTCTTTTTCTCCGAGACTGAAGAATGGGAAGATGTCAGTGTAATGTAGTAAGTCTGGAGATAGGAGGGATACAAGTTTGAGGGAATCTGCCTTCACCCTCTATGAAGTAAGCAGTGGTAACCAGAGGATTAGACATCAGGTAAATGACATTCAGGAGAGAAGTGAAGATTTTAAATAGTCATTAGGACCGTGGAGGGACTTCCCTGTGGCTCAGACGGTAAAGCGTCTGCCTACAATGCAGGAGACCTGGGTTCAATCCCTGGGTCAGGAAGATCTCCTGGAGAAGGAAATGGCAACCCACTCCAGTACTCTTGCCTGGAAAATCCCATGGACGGTGGAACCTGGTAGGCTACAGTCCATGGAGTCGCAAAGAGTCAGACACAACTGAGCGACTTCACTTTCACTTTCAAGAACCACAGAAGAGGAAACTGACATGAAAGGAAGTGACAAGAAGGACTGAGGATCACTGATGATGATCAGTGAAGCAGCCCCATGTAACATAGCTTTGGGATGGCTGGGTTGATGCTAGGTCAGGCATTGATGGGAAGGGAATTAGGGCACTAGTAATGTTGTTCCTTAAAGCAATGGGAAACTAGGATGACCAGCTGGGCCGAGGGAGCAGGGCTTGGAGAGTTCAATGAGGTGGAAGAGCATGCTCAGGAAGAGCAAGAGCTATTGTGATCAGCAGCTAGGTTGTTGGAGTTTAAGGTCTCTTAGGTAGAATGGTTCTAGATGGTGAAAATGGTCTAGTTCTGGTGACTGAACTGAAAAGAGAAGTGAAGGCGGTTTACATTAAAGAGCTCAAGGAAGTAAGAGGCTAAAACGTTGATTAGGACATTGGTTAGTTAGATGTTAGCAGGATAGTTGGATGCTTGCCAAAGTCCTAGATAAATAAGAGAGTTTTAGTAATAAGAGATAGATGAAAAGGATGAGGGAAGAAGAAGGCAGTTGACTAGGATGGAAGGGAGTTTTACAAGTAGGTGGAAAGACTGCTCTGGGGAACTCAGAGAGTGTCTGCCCCCATGGACTTTTCAGTTGAGATTATGGTAGAATGAAGGGAGCACTCTTGAGAGGGTGCTATCAAGTGATATCCTGAGGAAGAATTAAAATCATCTGAGGCCTGAAAGAGATAAGAATGTAGGCTTTCCAAAAGCCTCAATAAGAGGAAGGGGTTCAGTAGGGGTGGAGGAAGGGGGAGGAATGTGAAGATACTAAGGTGTAAGGAAATGAGGGAGCGCACTGGGGAAGACCACAGGCTAAATAGCCATGACTCTGGGCCCTTCAGCCTGTCCAGTGAGTGAGGGAGAGGAGATTCTCACTCTGGCACAAGATGCCCAAAGAAATGACCTTTGGTCATTGCTGTTGTCAGATTGTGTTTCAGATGCAGCGATTGCTGGAGACAAATTGTAACACAGACCCTGGTTCCCCCTGGAGTATCAGATTCACTTGGGAGCCTAACTTCTGGACCAAGCAGCTGGCTTCCCTAGGTGAGCCCAGGGCCTACTCTATGGGCCTTTTTATGATTGCTAAGAACATATTTAGACCATCTGCTTAACTCACTGTGTAGATCAGCGTATGCCCAAGAGAAAGCGCACCCTGAGACTGCCAGTGGTCATGGAGTCATTCAGCAAACCTTTTCCTGGGGATGATGATGGTGGGGTTGGGGTGGGGGTGGGGGGAGCTGCCAGCTGAAATAGCACTGGCAATATAGGACTTTTGTAATAGGACCGGTTGAAATCTGAGTTTCCTATTCTGCATGAAAGTCCCTGTTCTGTTGGTTTCATTGCTAGAAGAGGAGACAAGACAGTGGTCCTACTCTCCAGAATGCTGTATGGCAATGCAGGCAGCCCTGTGTCTCTGAGTACACGGGTGCACATGTGTGTGGGCACAAACAGAGATGTTTCAGTGACACACAGAGAGAGACAGACAAGCAATGTCACACACGTCTTTTGGAGTTGAGATGTAAGCAGATAATTCATGACCTTGTACGTTTTTCTTCCCTGCTGCAATAACTTGCTGGGATTCAACATTTAGGCAGAATGTAGACAATTTGAAGTTGTGCTTGTGTTGACAACCTAATGGTAGGTTTGTTAAACTAATGGCCAACTGCTGCCTTTGTCTGGACTGATACTCTTATTGAAAGTGTTTTGAACTTGATAGAATAATAAATGATCTTTAGGTTTATTTTCTGCTTCCGTTTCCCTTTTGATACAATTCCACAGACCTTTGGTGAGCACCTGCTCTCAGTCAGGCCCCACATTGGCCACTAAGTGATCAAAGGTGAATAAAACTCACCAGCTGCCCACAGGGCACGTGGTTTTCCCCTACATAAGCCTCAGAGGAGCTGAAGAAGCCATTAGAATAGCTTGTCTTCTCATTCAAGCATCAAGCTTATCTTCTCAGCAATAGCATCATCTTCTCATGCATGAGGGTCTAGGGTCCTCAGACATCAGCACTGACGCTCAGCACTGACCTGGTGATGGAGCTTCCCTACTCTCCTCCACCCTGCTTGCCCAACATCTAGTTCTCCAGAACTGTATTTGAGGACTTACCCATTTGTCCTGGGGATGAATCTCCTTTGCTACTTTTTAGCACACTCCCTCTTCTCCTCCCAGTTTTGCTAGTTTTGGTCAGAGTCTTCCTTGGCTTATTCTGTTAAAAAAGGAGTAGGTACTCTGTGAGGGAGCCCATGGTTTCTCTAGTGGGATACAGAGTCAGGACTGAGCCACTGGTAAAAGCTGAGCTGACTCCTCAAATGTCCCAGGACCCCAGTGCATGCCTGTATAGTTTCTATTGCTGATGGCATTCTAGACTGAGTCTTGGGGGTTAGGGATTGAATTTCTTAATCTCTGCCTCTGGTACAAGGTTGTTGAATGATATTCTTTTGGCCCTGGAGAAGGAGGTAGCAGAAGTAGGGGGAACAACTGCAGATCACCTTTGGAAACACTCTCTATTCTGAATTTTTAGGCTGTATAACTACTGAGGGTGGACAGCTGTCCCGAGCAGATACTCCTGCTTATGGAGGCTTACAGGGACCATCATCTTTTTACCAAAGCCACCAGTCCCCAGTGGCCCATCAAGAGACTCTCAGCCATCCCTCACACAAGTTCCAGTCTCCAGCGTTGTGTTCCTCATCCGTGTGCTGCGCCCACTGCTCCCCAGGCTCGCCCTCCCTCAAAGGCCAGGCCCCCCCACCCAGCATACACCCAGTGCACAGCTTTAGGCAGCCCTCCGAGATGGTGCCCCAACAGTTGGGCTCCCTGCAGTGCTCCACACTGCTGCCCAGGGAAAAGGAACTGCCCTGCAATCCTCACCCACCAAAGCTGCTTCAGCCCTGGCTGGAAACCCAGCCCCCTGCAGAGCCGGAGAGTGCACCCCAGCGGCTGGGGCAGCAGCTGACTTCCCAGCCCGTGTGCATCGTCCCCCCACAAGATGTTCAGCAAGGAGCCCATGCCCCGCCCACCCTGCAGACACCCTCCATCCAGGTGCAGTTTGGCCACCACCAGAAGCTGAAGCTCAGCCACTTTCAGCCACCGCCACAGCAGCAGCTGCCACTTCTGCCCCCTCTGCCCCCTCCGCCCCAACAGCAGGCACCCCCACCTCTCCCTCCATCCCAGCATCTGGCTTCTAGTCAGCACGAGAGCCCACCGGGGCCCGCCTGTTCCCAGAACGTGGACATAATGCACCACAAGTTTGAGCTGGAGGAAATGCAGAAGGACCTGGAGCTTCTCCTTCAGGCTCAACAGCCCAGCCTTCAGCTGAGTCAGACCAAATCGCCGCAGCATCTACAGCAAACCATCGTGGGGCAGATCAATTACATTGTGAGGCAGCCGGCGCCCGTCCAGTCCCAGAGCCAAGAGGACACTGTGCAGGTGAGGTCAGGGCAGCACCACCTCCCTAGATTCCCTCTCCCTAGGAGAGCGTCGGGAACACAGTCTCCCCATCACAGGGTGGCACAGGAACACAGTTTCTTCATCTTAAGGTGGCCTTGAACTCAGCCCTCCCAATTCAAGACTGCCCTGGGCTCCACCTTCTGTCTCAGGAAAACTGCAGAGAGCACAGTACTTCACCCCAACATAGGAGTAGGCTCAGGCTCAGCCCCGTCCAGAGTGGCCTGGCGTAGTCCTGTCCTCCTGGGTGACACCAGGGACCGTGTCTGTTCATGGAGCTTCCGGAGCTGTGCTGGACTCCAGGCAGTGCAGGGCAGAAGGGAGGCTGTCTCTTACCTTTGTCACCTCACTTCCCTTACTGCAACTTATGAATCCCAGCTGGGGGAAGGGGAGAGCTTAAGCAGATCATTTGCCTAGAGATCATACAACATTGGGGGCTTCCCAGGTGGCACTAGTGGTAAAGAGCCCTCCTGCCAATGCAGGAGGCACAAGAGACCCGGGTTCGATCCCTGGGTTGGGAAGATCCCCTGGAGGAGGGCATGACAAAGCACTCCAGTGTTCTTGCCTGGAGAATCACATGGACAGAGGAGCCCGGCAGGCTGTGGTTCATAGGGTCACAGAGAGTCGGACACGACCGAAGTGACTTAGCACACATGTATGCTCATAAAACATCGAGTGGTAGTGCCAAGACTTGGGTCCAGGCCAGCTGACTCTGGATTGCCACAGAGGAGGCCTTGTTTTCTCCCTCGGAGGATGACTAAGGCTGCTCCTCTCTTTTCTCAGCTAAAAGCCAGTTGGAGAGGTGCAGTTCGTACCTCTGGGATCTTTGCAGCACTCCACATCTTCATTCTTAATTCTTGCTTTTCTTGGTTCCCAACAGCTTCCTGTTGCAGACCCTTCCTTCTCCCCTTTCACTTTTTTCATAGTGAAATATATGTACATTTATACCTTCAAAGCAGCTCTATAGACTTTTACTTTATTACAAAATATAAGGCTTTACATTTATGCTTCTGCACTGACAACTTCAATTTTATTTTCATTTATTTATTTATTTGACTCTGCTGCATAGCATGTGGGATCTTAGTTCCCCCACTAGGGATGGAACCCATGCCTCCTACAATGGAAAGGCAGTTTCTAAACCACTGGACCACCAGGGAAGTCCCTAAACACTGACTTCAGATCATGCTTCAAATGTCTGCCTCTGAGGCTCAGTTCCTTATATAGAATAACTCTTATGATGGCAGAGAAGGGTCTAGGGTTTATAGAGGACCACAGCTCTATAAATGTAAGTGAAAACTGTTGTGATTGCTTAGGTGACTATGATAAAGTTAGCTCATGATTCTTGGTTTGAGTTCTATTCTAAGATGTCATATTAGGAACAGCTTAGGTAAGAGTATCTTCCTGGAAAGATTTCAGGCCCTCCGCAGTGTGTAGGTGGTGACAGCAGTAGTGGGCAGTGCAGGTGAGCCTCAGCCTTGACCATTGCTGCTACTCTTTGCAGGAAATGGAAGTCACTCAGTCATGTCCGACTCTTACGACCCCATGGACTGTAGCCTGCCAGGCTCCTCTGTGCATGGAATTTTCCAGGCAAGAATACTGGAGTGGGTTGCCATTTCAAGACCCACCCAAGTTCTTATTTTCTCCTCCAGGCTGCAGATGAGCCCCCAGCGTCTGAAGGCCCTAAGCCGGCTCTCCCTCTTGACAAGAATACTGCTGCTAACTTGCCCCAGGCATCTGGGGAGGAAAACCCTCACAGTGTCCCCCCATTGGACAGCGCCATCCAGCACTCCTCTCCGAATGTGGTGAGAAAGGTACAATTGGAGCCTGCTTTCCCTGATCGTATGGGACCCACTGCCAGTCAAGACCCTGGGACCTGGCTGAGGATGTCTGGGCGGGGGGAGGAGTGTCCCTGTCCCATCCCTGGATGTTACACAGCCCTGACTCATGCCTTCTCTCCTAGTGAGTGAGCAAGGTCCTCCTCCACCCCATTGACACTCCCCCACACACTTAAATTGGGAGCATCCGGGCTTCATTTCGAGAGGAAGGGGAAAGGGAAGGAAAGCCAGTTTGTTGAACACCGACTCTGTACCTAGAATGGTGCTTGGTGCTCCACAGGGTGACCTCCCTTAATCTTCCCAATAGTTCTGTAAGGTAGGCAGCCCCATTTTATAGCTCAGGAAACTCAGATCCAGGGGCCTACAGGTAGTAGATAAGAGGGGCTAAGGTTTATGTAAAATGAGAATCACAGCCTGAGCTTTTTCCTCTCTGCCATGAATGGCAATGGGGAAAGTGTTTCATGTGGTCCTACAATCCAGAGTTGACTGGCTTTAGAATTTGAATTAATGGAATTCAGTGGGTGAGTGGTCTACAGGGATGACCTGCAGAGGTGGCTGAGCATCTAAGGGCACTGGGATCTTTTGAAGATAAGCTAGTGAAGTTCCTCCTGTCTGTCCACCTGTCTGCTTGGTGGACGGTTCATGGCAATAACCCGGAATCCTGCAACTCCTGGTTGTCCTACTCTCACTCCTGTCTTTCATCTCCACCCTGGTCATCCTCCTAGCTGGAACCTCACTGCTGTGTTGTGCCTTCCCACCAACCTTTCATGTGTCCCTTGGCCCTGTTCCCCTTATCCTGTCCCTTTTCTGGTCTCATCCCCTCAACCCTCCTGGTACTTTCACTCAGCCCTGGACTAGAAGCTCTGTCAGCTATTCTGTACCCTTCTAGCCTGCACTCTCAGTCCTGCAGCATCCCTTGGGCTCTACAGTCCCAGTTTCACTAGTTGTTCTTTGTACCTACCCCTCATCATGTTTCTCCCAGCATCACCATTGCCATAGATCAGTCTACCTCAGTGATACCTGAGAAGAGAATTTTGAAAAGTAAGAAATGGCAAAATTGCAATGTTACCTTAGAAATCCCTTGAAGTCTGGTACTAAAGGCCTTTAGTTTATACCTAGCCTGCCCTATCCTTTTGAAAATGGTTTGACCTAGAGGCCATAGAGATGCTATAAATTGGTCCTGTGTGGCTCTTAGCAGTTTACATTTTTACACCTGAGATAGCTAGCTATCTGTTCAACCATCCATCTATCCATCCATTTATTTATTCACTCAGTGATCAAAAAATATGTTAACCTCCTACTGTGTACCAAGTACTTTTATAGGTGTCAGGAACACATTGGTGAATAAGTAGTCTCACTTTGTAGCTTACAGTCTAGTGGGGGAGAGAGTAAAACAAGCATCAACAATGAAGTATGATAAAGTGCTGTGATAGTCAGTGGGGTGTAAATAAAGAGCACCAAAATCTTGGAGAAGACTTTCTAGAGAAAATAGTTTTAAGCTGAGATTTGTTTGAAAAATTAGGCTGGTAAAGGAGAGATGGAGGGGGAAGGCTGGAATAAATAGAGGGAATGGCTAGTAGGACGGTCCAGAAGTAAGAGAAAGCCTGCTATTTAGGGGGTTTCAGATAATTTGACTTGGTGGGAACATGAAATGAACTAGAGAATGGGAGTGATTAAAACCAGAGTAGTTAGAAAGCTTTGTGAATTATGCTGTGAAGTTGGGATTCAGTCTTGGGGGTTGCCAGGTGTGAATGAAGGATTACTAGCAAGGAGGATTACTAACATGGTTTGAATTAAAGTATAGAGAGATCACTTTAGTTATAGTAAGAGATACCAAACTAGTACAGAGGAGAAATAGGAGATGAATGAAATCAGGTAATGATGGGAAAGAAGAGGCAGCAAGGACTTCAAGAGATCAGATCCTAGGAGATTTTTAGACTTGGAGTCTGACTGGTAGTGGGAAGTGGGGGAAAAGACATCCAAAGTGTATCTTGGCTCACTGAATTGCCATTCATCTGAGATGGGAGCATGGGAAGAAAAGTACATTTGAGGGGAGGAAAAAGTCAAGTTTTGAATTGGTGTTGGTCTCCTCTGGAGGCTAAGTTATAAGATGACTGGAAGACAGCTAGCTCTAGAGGGCAGTAGGGAGCATGGGGATTACCAGTGCCCAACTGGTAGTGGGAGCCATGCTGAAAATGCTTCTGCTTATTTGATGAGCCTCAGTTCTGCTCCTCCAGCCAGGTGAGAGGAAAGGAGGCGAGCCACATGCAATCATGGAGTCTGTTCTACCTGGGCGAGTGGCCCACAGGGTGCTCAGAGCTGCGAGGGGAGGGGCTGCTTCGCTCCTGCATGGCGGCAGGGTGGCAGTGGGGTTAATGAAGATCCTAGGAGATCTAACTTTTCATCTGGAGCTGCCTCTGGCTGTTAACGTGAATTCATGCAGAGGTGTGGAGGGGCAAGTGACCTGACATTTTGTAGGCTTCTGTAAGGCTTGTACTCCCAGAAAAAGGAACCTCAAGGTTGCCATCCAAGGGAAACTGGTCCCGAGGAACCTTTGGGTCCACTTGCCTGAGAGAGGTACTGGTTATACACAAAGCTCCTGAAATAAGGAAAGGGGCTTTCTTTTTGAGGAAATTCATTGTCTTCAATCTGGGATTGGGCAGGGTGGGGATATGAAGGTCAAGGTTACCCAACAACATTCTGAGCATCTTATCATTGATTTATAATGCTTTGTATAGCATTTTCTACTTTTTTTTCTCCCATAGATTTTTATATGTACTTTTCTATTTTATCTCTTTGTTTATCCTAGCAATACTATGAGGAAGCCACTTTCTTATTCCCCTTTGAAAGATGTGGAAACTGAGACACAGAGAGATTAAGTGACCGCCTAAAAGTTAAACAGCCAACTATTAGCAAGGTTAGGCCCAGAGCACAGTTCCTGCCTCAGCCCTGGGTCCAATGACTAGGTTAAATTGCTTGTCTCTGTGCACTGCAGTGGGAGAAGTAGGACTCCATATGGCCTCTCACTGCTGGATTTTCCTATCTTTATACTCTCTGAAGTAGCCTGAGGCCTTGCTGGGGAGAAGTCTTAGGACCCATCCTCATTGGGTCTTGGCTGTCTTTATCTGGTAATGGCACTTAGCCCCCAGCCTACTCCTCGGTCTGTACTGGCTGGCAAGTGCCAGGGGAAGTCAGAAGTCTGTCTGAGTCCTCAGATGAGAGGAAACTGTGGCGGCGGGCATAGCTCCATGTGTTCCACAGAGACCTACTCCTGCTTGGAGCTGCTTCGTGTCACTGCGAGGAGGACTTTTGTTCAGCTGAGCAGCTGTGCACACGTACCTAGGAGATGGTACTAAATGAGCTGACAGTGAAAACAGCTTGCTGCTGCAAATGAGATGTGAAAGTTCTAGAATGGGTTTTCTAGTGACTTGAGCTCTGCAGTCTCTGGAGCATTCTACCCCACCACCTTCTGTGCCGCCAGCAGAATGTTTTTGTATGAACTTGGACATTTGTTTGTCAGCTGCTGTTGCCTCAGCTTTCTAATCTTGGTTCAGCCACTTTGAAAAAAGATGATGAAGAAAGACAACTTTACAACAGAACCCCTTTAAATACCAAGTGAAACTGGAAGACATTCCGATGGCTTCGTTTCATACTTCTGAACTAGTCCACTGTGGAAAAATACACTCCTTTTGTCAGCCCTCATGGAATCAAGGCTGTAGGCATTACAGAGAGCTCTAGCTGAACCCCAGTTCACCTGCAAGAGGGACCTCTCTTCTGCTCATAGTGGGGTCCCAGATCTTCAGAGGACTTTGAGGCCAGGAAGTTACTGCTTACGGCTTCAACGGAGTCTGGGATATATTGTCAGCAAATGATGCAGAAGTATTTGACATTCCTGTGGTCCAGATTATTGAGTGATGCAGAAGAGTGGAGGATCATGAACCTGATGAATAGCATTTATGCCTTTATCAAAGCATTTTGATGCTTGGGCTCTTGATTTGATTCTTAAAACTCAGTGAGATTTACATTCACCTGTAGAGGAGAAAATTCAAGCCCAGAGATGGAAAATAATTTGCTTAAATGCATATTCTGAACCTTGACATAAGTGAGGAAAAACTAGGCACCCTGCCTTCACAGTCTCCAAATACATGGCTATGGACCAGATCATGGGTTTTTCATCCATGTGTTTTCCAAAAGCAACTGTCTTTTCCTTGAAGCCTGGCACTGACAGCTTTTGCTCAGAATGCTTCCAGGGCCTGATAAGGCTTTCCTATGGCCCAGTCTGTGACCCGGTTAGCAGTGCAGAACTGTACAGAGATGTGCACACTGTCCTACATAGGAATCGAGCCAAACACTCCCCAGGTCTGGCTTCCTGAATTTTATACTCTTTAGGAAGCCTATCTCCTTCCTTCTAGCCTGATTTCATTCACAGACCAAACCTAAGATCTTTGTCTAGGTCTCCTGGTCCATGAGAAAATAGGTTCTTGCTCCTGGACCTTTAAATTTGCTTAACAAACCCAGCCCAAGAAAAATACCTCTGGCCCAGTTCTTCCACGTCTCCAAAATTTGGGTTTTAAAGGTTCCACTCATTCTACCTTCACTTCAGATTCACTGGACTCTGCTTTTTCCTTCTGCCTCAGACCCTGATCCTCTTTGTTTTGTTTTGTTTTGTTTTCCCCATCTTCTTGGATCATCAGGGGACTGGGTACTCTTCAGTTCTCTTCTCTTCACCAGCCATGGTTGTTTTCCCATTTAACTCCCATTGGTTAGCAGATATCAACATAGTTACATCTGTAGCAACAACCTTACTTCATAAAAGAATTTTTCATTGAGCTGGTGGGACACTTACTATCAGGAAGAGCAACTTTCCTATTAAAAATCAACTTGTGAAACCACTGGCAGCAAAAGTTAGTTCCCCACTCAGCTATCTGATTCAGTTGTGTCAAGATCTACTGCTGTTAAACCAGTCTGCTTAATCT